AAGTCGTGTGCAGTAGGGCTTTGATGTTAATTGATAACAAACTCTGACAATGCGTTCAGTGTGATTAGACTATGTGATATCGGCCAGGGCTGGACCAGATGTTGCATGGATATTTGGGGAGATTTCTAGAGCTTTGAGCCATAAGCTGAGGGATTGCAGAGTGACATCACTATTGCAAGGACATTAGATGCTTGAGGCTTACAGGAGCTGTTTGTATTTGCAGTGCAGAGCATGTCCTGTTCGGCTTCTGCTTCAGGTCACAGGTAATCACCTGTTATCTGTTATGCAGGACCTTACCTGTTCATTAGGGCTCTCTCTCTCTCTCTCTCTCTCTCTCTCTCTCCCTCTCTCTCGCTCTCTTAGTCTTAAATATATATATATGTATATATATATATATATATATATATATATATATATATAGTGATATATACAACATACAGACAAAGTATATATATATATTCAACAGAATGCAATGATTTGCGAATCTCATAGACCCATATTTTATTCACAATACAACATAGAACACGTCAGATGTTGAAAGTGAGACATTTTACTATTTCACGAAAAATATTAACTCACTCTTTCTACTGGATGGTGTTTGGTACAGAGCACTGTTTGAATGTTGAACATAAGTTTTTTGTACATTTTAGGAATAGAGATGAAGCAGCAGTTGACCCCTATGAGGTGATGGAAAATTTTGTATTGTTTACCAGCTCCCCCTAGTGGCCATAGGTAATTCTACAATAGCTCCCTCCAGGCTGGTGGCTCTTAAGTCCCTTTTCTCTGCTCATTATTAACTGCTTAACTGCTCCGTGATCAGGTGTGTTATAGGAGAGAAATCAGTTGTAAATAAAGTACATTTAAAAGGACACAATTAGGTTTGTGTTTGTTTCGTGCATTTCCAGGACAAAAAGGGGAAAACTGGCCTAACCTTCATGCCAGGTTTACCAAAATGTCCTGACTTGTTTCATTTTAAAATGTTTCTTTTTGGTTACTGAGGATTAGGTTAAGGTTTAGGTTTAGGCTTAGAATATTCTTATTAGATATAGGTCTTTACATATAAATGATACATATGTGGTTTCATAAGCAGTAATTTCACCTATGATATATGTATCCAGAAATTTCACTTATGATATAGGAAATTAATACAGCCAGTCACACTACTTGTAAATTTATTAAATATGTATGTTTTATATGCTACATATGTCACTCATAAATTTAGGGTGGACTGTCACTGTTCTTTGGGTGCAAGGAAGGTAACAAATCAGCTACTCCTCTCACTCTAGGATTTATCTCTTGTTTTCCTCTTCTGAAGCCTAGCCAGCTGACAGGAGCTACTCTGAATCAGTTCAGTGGCCTTGAGGTAGCAGGCTAGCTCTCACAGAGATCAGGTGTGAGACGACTTGTTGATCAAATATGAGCTTCCTTCCTTGTCATTAATTATGCATATATGTTAACACTCTCTAATAAATTCATATCACAGTTAGTTGCAATCAATTAATTGTAACTTCTTTGTTTTTTTTAACCGATGACACAACACCCCACTCGGGGAGTATATAAACTTTGGTCTGACTTTGGAGATTTCTGGGTATTTGCCAAGAGCTTTTCTTCGGTCAGGAGTTTTTAATGAATATATTACTTTGAAGCATTAATTGTAACTCTGATATTTTACTGTTGTTTTTTATTTTGATTTATTCAGACATTTCTTCCACACATATAAGACATATTAGTATTGCATACACATACTACATATAAGAATAGTATTATTATAGATACATGTACATGTACATATGTATATACTTACATGTAATGCATATAAAACATTATTGCATATACTAACTTGTATATAATACATATAATACATGATTATTGCATATCGCTGTTGGCGGAACGCAACCTTGTATCTCCAAAATGGTAACTTTACAGGAGAAGGAAAAAACTTACTTTACTTTTACTGTAAGTCAGTGGAACCAGAAATTTTTCCAAGTAATTTTGGGCCATTTCTTTTAGTCCGTTCATCATGAAATTTACACACAATGTAAAGGACTTTCAAATGATGTCAAAAACTGAAAAATGACAAAAATGGAGATACAAGGTTTTGTTTTACAGCAGCAATATACAAACTTACATATAGACATACTAGTATTATTGTATAAACAAACATTATTGCATATACAAACTTACATTTAATACATATAAGCCACACTATTATTGCATATATAAACTTACACATAAGACATATAAGACATACTATTGTTGTGTACATGAATTTACAAGTGAGGGTAAACCACTTCTAATTCTAATGTAAGTGAATGTAATGAGTTTTTTTTAATTCATTTTGGACTATTCCTATTGGTCTATTCATCATCTATCTATCTAAAGTACTGTGCAAAAGTCAGAGACCACCCATTTAATCATTCAGTAAAAGACATTAAAACATATTGTTTCTTTTTCAGGGTATTTTTCTGATAAGATAATCCGCTTGCATTAGGAAGGGGAAAACAGGAGTTTCCAAAACTGCAGTTCAAAAATGATTAAAAAATACAGAGAAAATAGGACTCCTAACAATGCAAAACCTGGCTGGCCACCAAAACTGTCCCCATCAGATAAACAGCACTTAAAGCTCTCATCTTTAAGAGAGAGGAGAAAATCAAGCTTTGCTCTTGCTTCAGATCTGAAAACATCCTCAGGTGTTTCTGTCCATCTTTCCACTGTGAGAAGACATCACTATGAGTCTGAAACGATGTGTAGCTGCCAAGAAGCCCTCACTGAGGAAAGAAAATGGACAAAAAGGGAAGAACTGTGAGAAGCAGAAAATGCAATCTCTAAGACTGAACTTTGGAGGTGTAGAAAAACATCCCTGCAGATTTCTAAAAAACTGAAAGCGAGTCTCCTGAACAGAAAGGAAGCTGTGATAAAAGTAAACACTAATGACTTGTTAAGGCTTCTGTGTATTTTTTGTGAAATACATGTTTTCTGATGCTGAAATGAATAACTTGTACTTAATTGTACTTAAATGAAGGTTAAGGAAGGAATGAGTTCCACACAGCACTGTGCCTGTCCATTTGTCTAAAATAGGTGTGTGTGTGTGTGTGTGTGTGTGTGTGTGTGTGTGTGTGTGTGTGCCCACACCCTTGCCACACGACAGGGTAAAGGGGCAGGTCTTTGTGGTTGCAACAGTTCAGATTAGCCCATACTACTCACACTACTATTCTGACAGTGAGGCTGATAGAGATCTTTCTGAGTGAGGATTATGACATTATGACAGGATATGAGTATTTTGCTACATTTAAGTATATATATATATAAATATATACTTAAATGTAGCAAATATATATATATATATATATGCATATATTTTAGTGTCTCTTTAGTGATGGCTTCAACAGCCCATTCACACTGGCAACCCACCAGTTCCTGTCAGTTATTCAGTCTCACTGCAGGCAAAGCTCAGCTCAGCGCACTTCTCCTTCTTCTGAGTACCAGCCAACAACAGGAAAGGAGGATGAGTTTGGTTACCTCTCTTCATCAAACCACTGGCTTTCACAAAAAGAAGAATCTCTCTCTGGGTTGGCTCAGCCCCTTCCTGTGGAAAAATATTTTTGTTTTGTTTCTCTTTCTTTTCATAAGACTTTGCTAAAATGACTCAAGTGAAGAAATCCACGAGTGGTCTTTTATTTCAGAGCGGGTTCAAAGCTTGTCCAACAACTTAAAAACCCTATTTGTAAAGAGGGTGTTCAAGTGACAGGAACCTTTTTATAGCACATGATGAAAAGGTTCTACACCAATTAAACGTTTCACATCCAAGTCGAGAAGTCTTCTGAACATTTATGTTATGTGGATGTTCTTTAAACTGTAAGAAGGCTCTCCTCACTTACACACTTCATTTTTTGAAGAACCATCCATTGAGGGGTTCTTTAGAACAGTGGTTCTGCAACTGGTCCTCAGGGACCAACATCTGGGGGTCTCTGAGGCCCGTTTTGAGAACCATTGCTTTAGGAAACCAGAAGTGATTCTTGTAGGCATCTCTCCAAAGAGACCTCTGTTTAAGAGAGTGTGGTGGTATTTCAAAGGCCCTTCACTGTCAATGTTAAGTATGTTCTCCTAATGTCTTTAATTAAAGCCTTGTAAGCATTGCTGCCTGGATGCTGGTGGTGAATCTGATGAATTCTAGGTGGATCTAGAAATTTCTGTTGGTATGTAGTAAATCTTGTGGCACAAAAGTAGGGCAGCTGTTTCCTCTCTGTATGCCCTCTTTTGTGTTTTAACCACACACACCCCACCCATTCGCTTCACACAGTTCAGGTCAAGTCCTCCAAAATAGCAGATATTACTATCAGTCATTCAGTTAGATTTACAGTGAAGCTCTAAGAGTGAGCATTAAACCATACACGCCCCACTGCCTAATGCCGTTGAGTCTGGTGCTCACTTTATTTTTCCTCCATCGGTTGCATATACACATTTTACAAAGTTCATTTTTTGCTGCAATACTGTATGGTGGAGTGATGATTCAATATATTTGATAATGTAATGCACTAGCCATGAGCTAACACACTAGCCACACTGCCATATATGATAACTATATATATGGGGGTCTCACTTATTAGGGATCTTACTGTCTGTATGTCTTTTAATCAGTTTTCCCTTTTTATTTTTTCTTGTTTTTAGTTAATCTAGTCAAGTCTAGAATATTTGTGCATTAATTATGTTTGCAGAAAACTTTTTTTAATAGTTTGCTGCTGTGTTTAATTCTTTAAAAATCAATTAACTGTAATAAAACACACTGTGTTACTTGTCATTTTGCATATTTTATATCTCAGATTAATTTATGTTCACTCCTGCACCAAGAGAAACAGCTAAACTGCTGTGTTTTCTACTTAAATAAAAAGATCATGATTCTGATTGTGAAAGTGCCTGAGATGGAGAGGTGGTACGAAGGCAGGGCTGAGCAAGATACATTTTCAAACACACACACACACCCATTTAGACACTCTATACGACAAAAAAGACACTCTGCCTTTACAGTATCACTCAGCTTTATCTCCAGAGCAGCATCTTTCAGGAGGTGAGTAGAGTCGGCTTAGTCACTTACTGAAGGCATCCAGGATTAAAAAGCAAGAATGACCAGCCTGTTTTCTCCATTCTGCTTATGACCATGCTGTAGTAGCACTGTCATGACTTACTGAGCACATTATGTCTTGGTTTCAGATTTGATGTAAAGTGCATTGAATTTATAACCAGAGATTTCCCGAAAAGAAGATGCAGTCAAACCACAACTTTCTCGAAAGGTCATAGAACATGAAAGCATTGTGAGGCATTTATGTTCTTACTTTTGTCTTTTCAGCTTCCATATTTGGGTTGAAGTTGTCGTAACAGTATTTGGCACTCAGAAATGACCAGAAATGCCTAAACCTTAAAGAGAGGCCACATTTTCTTATTATTCCTGCTGTGTCTCATTATTCTTACTTTGATGAAGGAAATGAAAATCTCAAAAGTAAATTAGTTTATTTGAAAGGGTCATTCCTTGTTTTCAGTGCTTAAACATTCTTTTTAAGGTAGCATTTATAAATACATAAAAAAAAAAGTTGCTGGTAACACTTTATTTGGAGTGGTCCCTTATAGATGATTAATAAACTGCTAACAGATTATCAGTAACACAACAACAACATATCAGTGAAGTAGCAGTAGTGAAGGATCTGAATACACTGAAGTAAATATCTTATAGATGTTCTGTTGATACATTACGTTAAGTAGATGTATTGTTAATATGTTACTTCCATTACACAAAACCTAACCTTACCCAACCTTACCCACAACCTAACCCTCACCCTGGCCCTAATACTAACTCTAACCTTAACCTCAACCCAAAACCTAATCCTAACCCTCAAATGTTTATGACATTTAAAATGCTTTCTAGCTAATGATCTATGTTACAGTAGCAGATATTTTATGTATTGTGTTACTTTCTTCCTGTTTTCATTTGTATTGAAGTTATTAATAGATACTCTGCTAAACTGTAACCCCCTCCAGTGCAGTGTTGGTAGACTGGCAGTAAGTAGCACCTCTTTCAGTCAATGTGCCCTCATAAGTCTAATTTGACAGTCTGGAGTGAAAATGACTAGCTATTCTGAAAATACACACATTCTGCTTTTTACATTTGAGTTAATTATTTAAAGCATGTCATAAACAGCCAGACGCAAAAGTTACATTACGTATTTTGTTGATTTTCTAAGTGCAAATAATTTAACACGTCCTCTACAGAGAACACACTTCTGTACACTTTATAGCATAATTTAACATATTGGGGAAGAAATAAAACATAAAATGTGGCCTGTGCAAAAGTTGTGACATGTTTTTGTTTTATGCTTTATTTTTTAAAAGATGTAAAACTCAGCACACAAATAGAAATTGTGCACTAAAATTTGTAGCAAACAATATCAGGTTTAAGCATGTTCTCTGTAAGGTGTTAACTTATTTTTACTTAGAAAATCAACAAAATACAGAAATTAATTGAGGAAATATAAATAGACTAGAGAAGTAGAAGAAAAATAGATGGAGCTGAAATATATAATGTAAGTGGAGCTGAAATATATAATGTAATTAATAAATAAAGTAAAAAAAATGAATTGTAAGGTACAGAAAAAAGTAATATTGACACTAAATATCAATAAGATACTGAATGAGATCATAATTTTTGTGTTAACTTACAGCTACTGTATTATCTGTTTCCAAATTGTACTTTCTATATTGATTCCTTTTTCAATTATGCTTTATTAAATTATTATGCTTTGTTAGATTATTATGCCTTGTTAAAGTAAAAAATTACAACTTATAGTAACAAGTAATTAAACTAGTTTAATTAATCTTAAATCATTTAAATAAACAGTTTATTCAAAGCATTTATTTGAGTTAAATAAACTATTTAATTTGCTTGTTACTACATGAAGTAAATTACCATTTTTACAGTCTATTATTTTCAGTTGTTTTGTTCATTAACAAATTACAGTCTGCATTGTTTTATTGATTGATTTGCTAATTCATTACTGTATTTCATGTACTGCTTCTCTTTTTTAACAAATTCTTCAAAATTTACTGATTACTCATTTGCTAATTAGGTGGCACCCCTCCTGCTCCATAAATGGCACAGTTTTTAGTTGTGAAAGAAGATTAAACCCTTGCTGTGGTTAAACTGGAACTCCACCTTCCACATTAGCCCTCTCTCATTTTTTCACAATGTGGTCAAGACGACTTTCAGCTTCTGCCCTGGTGTTCCTCAGCATCACTTCTCTGATGCTACATGTGCTGGTATTCTGGTGGCTAGGACCCAACCAAGACCATCTTCGTCCCCAAAACCTGACCATCTTGCTGTGGCACTGGCCCTTCGGAGTCTCCTACAGCCTGAAGGGGGATGTTTGCTGGAGCAAGTTTGGCATCCCTGGATGCTTCCTTGAGAACAATCGATCTGTGTTCTCTCAGGCTGACATTGTGGTTTTCCACTACCATGAGCTTTGGACCAAACGCTCCAAGCTGCCGTTGCATCTGTCCCGTCCACTGGGGCAAAGGTGGGTTTGGCTGTCGCTAGAGCCTCCGATGAATAACCGCAATCTGACAGCCTATAATGGCTTGTTCAACTGGACGATGAGTTATCGGCGTGATGCGGACATCTTTGTGCCGTATGGAAAGCTGGTTCCGAAGAAGAACAACAGCACCTACCTCATACCACAAAAGAGGAACTGTCTTGTGGCCTGGGTGGTCAGTAACTACAAGGAGCACCAAAGAAGGTCTAAGGTATTCCAGCAACTGAAGCAATACATTCCAGCTGAGCTGATTGAGGTATACGGTCGCTGGAATGGCAGACCACTTTCTAACAAAGCTCTACTCCCTGCTATTTCTCAGTGCTTGTTCTACCTTGCCTTTGAAAACTCGTTGTACAGGGACTACATCACAGAAAAGCTGTGGCGCAACTCACTGCAAGCAGGGAGCGTCCCAGTGGTGCTTGGACCCCCTAGAGCTAACTATGAACGCCTGGTGCCCCGCGATGCATTCATCCATGTGAATGACTTCAGGAGTGTCAAGGAGCTGGCTGCTTTTCTAAAGCGCCTGGCCTCTGATAGACAGAGTTATGAGTCCTACTTCAGATGGCATGACAGTCACAAAGTGAAGACCTTCACAGACTGGACAGAGAGACTGTGCACTATCTGCTCTAACTACAACAGACTACCCACACACAAAGTCTACCAGGACCTTTACAGCTGGGTCAACATGTAGAGCCATGAATGAATTTGCATTGAAGTGCCTGTAGTTACTGAATAATAAGCCTTAGTATGTGATAAGCCTGAGGTTTTCAGGGGTAAAAGTCAACACATAACAATGAATTCCCAGTTTAAAACCACTACACCACTGAGCTGGACTGTGTTGTTGTAGCTAAGTGAATCTAGGGAGGTTGAAAATGACAGTGCAATACTAACATTAGCTGAAGTACACAATATAAAACACATGTCCGATCCTAAAGAGCGTAAATATATAATTTGCTCTTTATAAAATGGGCAAACAATGACACTGAGCCTACCTCCCATTTTAGGAAAGTGAAAGTGGCATCAAAATATTTTATTTTTAAGATTTTTGCAACCTTATTCAGGCGCTGAATGTTTACGATTGGTTTTGCATATAGAGTTGTATGCAAAGGGTTATACTTCTGGTAAAGAACATGTTTTGATTTTCTGAACTGATTTTCTAAGTGAAAATAAGGGTAAAGCATTCTCTACAGGGAACTAACTTAACTATGGCATTTTTCCGCCAATTGTAGTGCACAATTTCACAGTTTATTTGCAGAGTTTAAGATATAAAAAAATAAACAAAAACAGAAAAAAAAGCATAAAATGTCCACATTTTATGTTTTATGTTTTCCCAATATGTGAAATTCAGCAAATAATCTGCAACAATGCATTAAAATATGCTGAAATGTGTTCTCTGTAAATCATGTGTTAACTTAGTTCCAATCAACAAAACATGTAATTTGACTGATGCGCCCAAACTTTTGCACACAACTCTAGCTCTGGCTGCCCAGTTTGAGCTGCCTTTGGAAATGCAGCACGACATGTGATGAAGCCCAGGTCAAACTAATATTTTTGACGTTGCTGGGATGCAGCCGAGCTGTCATCTTGGTTGTCACCATGCCAACAGCTGGCAACAGTAAGTTGATTGGTCAAGTGAGTTTATGTTGCTTGTGAAACTGACAAAGAGCAAATAAAATATTATCAAATTTTCATCATCCGATATCTTAGTGTGCAATGTCCAAATAAATTGTGCTCACTGTGTATCGCTGGCAACAATAGAATTGTTATAGGTTTTCCGGGTGTAGAATCAGAGCTTTTATGTGCTGCCATGTTTCCTATCACTGTATGAAAGATGCACAGGGCTTCGTTTACTGTTGGAATTCTTACATGTTATTTTCTTGTTAGATTCATGTTGGGTGTTTTTTTTTCTCAAGCGAGTGTTTGAGCTCATTCAAAGCACAACTAAGATCAGTGGGAGCTTATTATTGCTTTGTTCAATCATAAAATTCCTAAGGGGCAAACATTCTAGTTATGTTATGGTTTCTTAATTACAATAGCATAGTGCAGCTCAGTAGCATAGCATTTTAAACTTAACATTATGAAGTGGCTCTAAAGAAGCATTGCAGCAGTCCAATTTAAAGAATTTACTTGTTTTGACAAAAACTGAATTGTGTGCTTCAACTTTTCATTACATTGAATGCTATTTTTGCAGGCATGCTGTGACACTTCTCAAAACTCGCAACACTTGCCAGACAAAAACGCATTTGTGGGTGAAGTAAACTAATGCACTGCAAGAAAGCGGTGAAGCAAGTGCACCGTCACCATAGAATATCTTCAGAAATGATTTCCGATATGTGTGAGGGTTTGTTGCATTGCACCCGTTGGTCAAATGCATAAATGTTTGCCTAGATGTGAATGGAACGCCCTTCCGGGTTTCTCAGAATAGAACTGTTTTCTCTCACAGCTCAGCTTAAGGCCGCAGGTACAGCCTATACACGCTCTTGGTGTTTTCTTTCACAGCTTAGCTAAAGGCGATGGGTACTGTCTATACCCTCTGGTGATCTATGGTGTTCTTTCTTTATGTCATAATTTCAGTAATTGTGGTAATAAGACGGTTGTTGGTTTTAATGTGCTGGCCAGGCTCTAGCCACTAAATCTCTCCTGTTTAGGATCTGGTGAGGAGGCCTTTAGCATCATTTGGCACCCCTTGCGTGCCAACTTTTTTTGAGATGCTTGCTTGTGAAACTGAAAAAAGGTACTGAGTGCCTGTCTGAGTCAGAAAGGATTATATCCATGCGAGGGTGTGGTCTATGTGTTAATGTGCTTTAGTGAAAACAGAACAACTCTTAGATCCTAAGTGCCCTGTAGACTCAATCTCTTCTATAAAACTAACAAGGTTTCAGTGCCTCACTTGCAAAAATATAGGTTTCTAAATGGTTCCTGGGCTGGCTTTACAGTTCTAGGAGAAACATTTATAACTGGGAGTTCTTTAAAACTTGGTGAAACATCTCATTTACAAAAGCAACCATCCGTTCTTCAATGCAGGGAGGGGGACTCCTGACTGGGAAGGCCCAACTCCTCAACAGTTTACAGAGAAATCTGCAGGCTGTGCTGGACTCTGGCCCTCAGTTCCCCACCCCTGCTTTAGTGAACCAAATGTGGTTCTTCTATGGTATCACTCAGAAGAACCCTTTTTGGCACTCCTGCTTTAACATTTTCTGGCTGGACCACCTATAAAGGTTCCCTCTCTGCAGGCAACAGTTCTCTTTAAAGAAAGCCACTATAGAATATCTTAAGAAATGATCTCCAATGTGCAGAAGTGTTTGTTGCACTATGCCTAGATGTAAATGGAACACCCTTCCGGGCTACTCAGAATAGACTTGTTTTCTGCTGCTTGGCTAACGGCCACAGCAATTGTTGCTGGTTCTAATGAGCTGGCCAGGTTCTGGTCGCTAAATCTTCCCTCTTTTAGATCTGGTGAGGCCTTTAGCACCATTTTGCACCACTTGCGTTCCAACCCTTGTTTGAGATGAAACATCTCATGTACAAAAGCAGCCATGACACGTTCTTCTCTGGCCCTCAGTTCCCCACCCCTGCTTCAGTGAACCAAATATGGTTCTTCTGTGGTATCACTCCAAAGAACCCTTCTATTGTAACATTTTCCAGCCGGACTCTATAAAGGTTCCCTCTCTGCAGGCAACAGTGCTCTTTAAAGTAAAATGGTTCTTGGCTTGGATGCTTTTCATTGGTCTTGAACATCATGTGAAGGTTCTTCAAGCTTTAAAAGGATCTTCTTTACAAAAAGTGCTCTTTAAAGGACTAACTATTGAGGTTCTCCAGGGAACCAAAAGTGGTTCTTCTGTGGCATCACAAAAAAAATGTGCATGTTTGCTTTACTTGCTTCCAAATGTGCAGGCTAGACTTTAAAAAGCCCCTCTGCGTAGGAAATAATACTCTGAAAAATGAAGTTCTCAAATGTAGAGGTTATTTACACCTTTATTTTTAGGACTATAGAAATTTTCAGAAGGCCTCAGTGAAAAGTCATTCAGCTAGACATCTGATATTGTGCTATTGTGTTAGAAAGGACAGTTCTTACTTATTCTCACCTTGCATGTAGCTTCCCTCTGTAAATCTCACTTTTACCACAACCACTGAGAACTGAGTGGAAGCAGTAGAGTACACCTGTTACCACAAGCCCCTCTTAGGACATATTTAAAGCATGTGGGCATCATCTGACATTTCTGGCCTGTTTGAGTCTGTGAGCCTCCATTTTTTACTCTGTTTGTATCCTCCATAAATGCATGCAGTAGCAACAGGTCAGAATTCAACATAAACTGACAGTTTAACCCTTTAAATGATCAGGGTTACCAGCAGGCCCAAAGTTTTATTACATACTTCTGTAACCCAAGAATAGCTCAGCCAGTTTGCACTGAAGTCCCTGTAGTGACTGAACAATAAGCCTTAGTATGTAATAAGCCTGGGATCTTAAGGGGTTAAGCACTTTTGTTTACATGTTTACATCTGAACTGCGGCAGACTGGGCTGCTTGTAAACCGTTGATTTATAAGCTGCCACGTGTAAAGCATTCAATTGAGTGGTAAAAAAATCAGAATTAGCTCTAAATCTACATACTTGCATTTTTCACTCAAATACCAGGGAGTTGCTGTCACTTCCATTAGAGGAGGTTTCAGTCTGAGTAAGCGGATGTTGGTATGTCTTTGATATTCATCCATATTCACGATTTTATCACAGCAAGTCGTCACTGAATGCATCACCCGGTGTAAAAAACACTGCATTTCTGCTCTTTCCAAATGAATCGGAGGCAATCTGGGGGTTTTCTAGCAGAGAGTGCTGCCTGTGGACACGTTATAGGCCATAACTGTATTTCCTTCACAGAAAAGATTTATAAGACACTCTTTAAAATGATGGTTCTTCAGGGGTTTAGTAAAGAAATGGTTCTATAAAGAAAACTGAGCACTCAAACAACATGCTGCATGATTAACCCCTAGGAATCTCAGGCTTATTATATACTAAGGCTTATTATTCAGTAACTACACTCAGAAAAAAAAGGTATGAAACTGTCACTGGGACAGTACCCCTCTTGTCACTGGGGTGGTACCCTCAAGGGAAGCCGTACCTTATTGAACGAAAAATGTACCTGCACAGAACCTTTATTTCTAACAGTGTAACTACAGGGACTTCTATTCAAACTGGCTGAGCTATTCTTTGGTTATAGAAGTGTGTAGTAAGACTTTGGGCTGCCAGCTGGCCTTTTAAGGGGTTACATGGTTCTTTGCATCATGAAAGTGTTCTTCAGATTGAAAAGCGTTCCATATAGCACCAAAAAGGGTTCTGCTATTGTTACAATGTCAATCTTGTAACATTAGAAGAACTCTTTTTGGTGCTATATACAACTATTTACAAAGATGTTCTATATAGAACCATATGCAACACATTCTCCCTCAATCTGAAGAACCATTTCAAGATGCAAAAAAGCCTTTAATCATGTAAAGGGTTCTCTGAATGTTTGTAGTTCAATATAGAACCATTTTCTTTACTAAAGAACCCTCGAAGGACCATCTTTTTGATAAAGATTTCTATAGTACTGTATGATACTAATGCAATAATTATATTTTTGCTGTATAAAATTCCTTTAGTGCTGTCTTACAGAAATCTGTTACTTGTGAAATATCATACAACAAACTACTGTAACTGTAAATGTCTGAATTCACTATATGATTTATAGCATGTTCTAAGCTTGTGTGGTTTATGTGATCGAAATAAAAAGAAGCTCAATCTTACTCTGTAGTGTTTCCAGAAGGTTGTTAATAATTTGGCTGCAGCTTGTTTCCTTAAAAAAATAGTTCATTTGCATCTCTCACTTACCAAACGTAGTCAATCAGTAGTCAATGTTTGGTGTCTGAATTGTTATTCAGAATCAGAATCAGAATCATTTTATTTCGCCAAGTACACCGATCAGGCATAACAAAAAGACCACCTCCTTGTTTCTATGCTCATTGTCCATTTGATCAGCTCCACTTACCAAATACTTTGTAGTGCTTGTGTAATGTCCTGTAGTTAAGTACTTTAATATATATAATGCTTGTGTAATGTCCTGTAGTGACGTACTGTGGCATATATAATGCTTGTGTAATATATATAATGCTTGTGTAATGTCCTGTAGTGAAGTATTGTAATTGACAAATTTACTGTAATATTCTTAAAAGAATCATGTAGAAACTCTGTTATATTACTGTAGGGCAAAGACTGCTGAGCAGAGAGTAACTCTGAAGACTATGCAAATTAGTTTTTACAAAAGAAGAGAAAGACACTTCTCACTTCTTTCACCAGATCAGCACTGTTGGTCTCCCATCATGCAGTCATATTTTTACTGACGTGGAAGAGACAAAAGCTCTTTGGAACACGCTGCCTCTTTCTTACATATCACTCACTGATGACCAGTAGACTTTTTTTATTTCCCATGTTTCCATGTTTTTGTACCACAAACAATCACAATTCATTGTTGACAATTTTCCGACCTTTCTTTTTCTGTTAGAATTAAACATTTTTGGAACTGTGCCTTTAAGACAGATATATGTAAATGAGCTTTCTTTTAATTGGCTGCCCTGTACTGCGTCACATTCAAAAAGAACTTGAGGGAGAATGTGCAGGGCTTAACTGCTGTAGGCTGAACGGGTGGATACATGTAAATGTGGTGGCTTCTGTGACATCACAAGAAACATTTCTAATTCGGCCTAGTTTCTATTTATGGACTCTACAGACTGGGAAGTGAACAGTATGTTTTGAAACTTTAGCAATGCTCTTACGCTGCATCAAACTCTTTCATTTCAAAAAGTGAGAAAAATCATTCCATGATATTGCACGCTACTGGCCCTTAAAATCTTCAGTTCTTGACATATGTAACCTGGGCTGGCCTCAGTTCACCTCTACCTGTTTCTGTTGCTAAGAATAAAGTTAGATAAAAGGATGTAAAAAAAGACCTCTGTGTGTTCTTGATGTTCCTGCTGTTTGTCTCCACCTAGTGGTCGAAATTAACACTACACACACACACACAGACACACATATATACTGTATGAACAGTCCTGTAACAATTTAGATCCATACTATAAAGTGATACATCGTTTGTTTGCATGCCAGATCTGCTAGTAAAACTGAACAGTCATGTGTATTGTGATGTTTTTAACTCTTGTGTGGTGTTGATGTTTTTGTTACTCAGTGGTCTGGTGGACCCACCACATTATTGTTTTTATTTTTAAATCAATACAACCATAACAATTATTTTAAAAATACCACGTTTAATATATCACAAGTGTCCAGCGTAGAGTTCTCCTTTAGCAGCTGTAGCCAGTCAGCAGCCTGTCCATGTTGTCCACCCTCACACACACACACACACACACACACACACACACATACATACAAACACATAGACAGACACACACACACTAACAGCAGGCCATGTAGGAGGAGAACAGAGTGAAGGGAAACAACACCTCCACACTTTATTCCCTACGGGTTCAGCCCAACACCACATGTGTAATATAAATGTGTAGGGGGTGAACAGTGTCACTGAAAAGGAATCTGAGGTTGAAATAATAATAAATCACATCATTTTTTCTTTTGGTAAACATTGAAAATGGGTCCCGCAGACCTGAACACCACACAAGGGTTTGTTATTTATCAGTGTCAGAAAGTCATACAACGGCTGAATAATCACTCACTGCAGCTGCATATACAGGAACATTTTATTAGCCAGTATGGTATTTAGAAAAAGTTACTGATAAAAAAAAGAAAAGTTCAAAGTAAGTAACATTTAGAAATGTGTCTTTACCTGCTAATACCTGCTAATAATGTGCAAAAGTCAGAGACCACTCTTTGTTTGCTTAATTTCCAGTCAAAACAGCCATTAAGTTCAAGTATTTCAGGAGATGTGCAGGCTACATATAAGATAATCCACATTAATAAGGAAGAAGAAAGCCAAAGAAAAATCAGTGAAAAAACAGGAGTTTCCAAAAATTTAAAAAATAGTTATAAGAACAACCGTGCAGGAGCTGGTAGACCACCAAAACTGTCCCCACCAGATAAACAGCACTTAAAGCTTTGAGAGAGAAAGGAGACAATCAAGCTCCAATCTTGCTTCAGATCTGGAAATTCCTCAGGTGCTTCTGTCCATCCTTACTGAAGACTTTACTGAGAAAAAGAATCACATAAAAAAAAACAAGAAAATGTGCAAAGACTGTCCACCCCAGAGTCCAGACCTCAACAGTCAATGTGTTTGGTGGGATTACTTGAATTGTGAGAAGCATAAAAATAAACCTACTTCTAAGACTGAACTTTGCAGGTGTGGAAAAACATTCCTGCCTCTTTAAATACTGAAAGTGAGTCTCCTGAAAAAAATGGAAGACACTGTAAACAATGAATAAACTGATATTTGTTTAGTTGTTGAGGATTTTGTTGAATATCTTTTCCTGAGGCTGAAAAATGAACTCGTACATAATGGCTGTTTTGACTGGAAACAAAATAAATGCAGGTTGGTCTCTGATTTTTGCACCATTCTGTTTATACATATATCATAAAATAGTGAACTGAAATGATTAAACAACACAAATAGAGTATCTGTGTACAAATGCATATGTTACTGTTGACTTACACTCAGATGTAAAAACAAAATACAGTATAATGATATCAAAAGCATGATAAGCAAACTAATAATAGAAAAAACATATAAAGCAGCTTCTTCATTTGCAGTGACATGCCCAGCACTTCAGTTTTTCTGTACAAACTTACATTGTAGAGTTTATTGTTGAATTGCATATTGAAATTAATGTTTTGCAGTTAATACCAGTCTTAATGAAGGGAAAAAAAAAAAATATATATATATATATAGGTTTTTTCTTTTAGTCCATTCACCATGAAATTTACACACAATGTAAAGGACAACAGGTATTTTCAATTTATGTCAAAAACTGAAAAACATCAAAAACGGAGATACAAGGTTTTCTTCCAACAACAGCGATACACACACACACACACACACACACACACACACACACATATATATATATTAAACAAAGGAAAATTCCACCATTTTTTTCCGCATAAGTATATGGTTAAGATGTAAACAGTCATTCAGACAGATTTAATGGGAGATGCTCCATTCTAGAGAAACAAACTGAGTCAGAATTGTTCACAGTGGCAGTGATAGGAACCAGACATCTGGAGAGTTTAATGCCAATGAAAATTCCCTCACAGAAGGTTACATTTCGGGTTACATAAAATGGTTATGAATATACTCTCTGAGACACTGTTTTACTATAGTTGTGAGAAGCTTCTGGCTTAAAATGTCCTCAAAGAAAACTTCAGAATTACCGCTATTTTATCATCATTATATATAAAAATTCAGATGACACGTGTAGGTTCGTAGATCATTTTAGCTAGTAAATAAAATGGCCATATTCTGTGGACAGTGCAAATTGTCTACAAAAATAGCCCATTTTGAAATGCTTCTGTGATGTCACTAAAGCCATGTCTACATGTTGTAGACATCACAGTCAGTAAGTTTCTCTACAGTGAACCATTTCACATCAAACCACTCTGATGACTTTGTGAATAATGAAGAAATGTTCAAAAAAAGGGTGGAATTCCCCTTTAATCATAGTAGAATTTAGAAGTTTTGCATATTATGTGTAAGATTTGAAACACTTTGGGAACAGCATATCAATTTAGCAGGTGATAGTCAAGAAACCAATCAAGTGCAACATTGTTTAGATGCTAAAATAAACCCGCTCCTGCTTCCGTTTCATTTCCTTTTTGAAATGTATAACCTCTTTGTTTACATAATAATAAGGCCATCTGAACATTTTAATATTCAGAGATATAATTGTGGACATAATCTGGGTTTAGGATATAGTGAATATTTATTAAACAAAAGTGTTCAGATATCAGCAACGTTTCTAAACCTAATTATATGTCATTTTCAGCGCTAGACTGCTGAGAAAGACTGAAAACCAGAATTTACTCTATTAGTCACTTCCTGTCATGCAAAATATGTTTAGAAAGCTGTGCAGCTTTGAGTCCCATGAGTGATTTTTAGCTTTATTATCTGTCCTTACAAGTACAAGCTGATAGTGCAGGTCTGAAAGTGAGGGTCTGAAAGTGCGATACTGAGGGTCTGCAGCTGGATCCTACTGATAAAGACTACAAAGGCCAGTGACACCAAAATGATTTGTCATGTCCACAAGAGAGAGAACATACATCATCAATTAACAATCAATTTATAGATGCAGTGCATAAGCAGAATAAATCAAATAAGGAATCTGTGTGATACGGAGCCCCTAAAGGGACATGGTGTATTTTTTTGGTAAAAATCTGGTGCGCACCAGATACTAACAGGTGAGCACCGAATACTATCAAGTGAGCATATATATATATATATATATATATATATATATATATACATACAACATTAACAACATTAGCCTACAGTGCAAAACTAAAAAATCAAACTTCAGACATCAAACATGTCCTGGCTGACTGACTGGTGGTACAAGGAGCTTTGTGTGCGTTTTACATTTCAATTTAACCATTCTTTAAGCAACATAGTTCTGTCCCTCTGCGAGAAAAAAGGCTTTTGGTGTAATCCACCCGTACTGAAGTCTGAACAATGATAAACTATTGTCCAAAGCTGTATTTAAGGTTGGCTTTATACAGTGAAACCTTAATGCAACTTTTGTTACTGGAAACCTACATGAAACTAAAAACTAAAACTACATAAAACTAAAAGCATCCTGCAACTCATTTGCATCACTGCAACTTTGTGAAATATGTTTCATGAAACAGCCAATCAAAACGTCAGTAACACATCATGTGATTCATCTAATGAGTTCACTACGTCACTGGACAAGAAAATAAAATAGAAGATGGTTAAATGGGGGGTTGAAAAGGAGACCCCTCCCCCAGCTGACTCAAGACTGGTAGTTCTTTATTTGACAACAAATTAGCGTTTCTCAAAGCTAATGTTCCTTCAACCAGCTGTTTTAACCAGCCAGCTAACACTAACAGCTGTTTAAACAGCTGCTTTATCACTATTAACCCTGCATTATTATCTGCTCTTATCACGATTTACACAGCTAGATTCAATTTCTCCTCTTTTGACACCCCCAAAATTTCAGTTCATTTTGAATCCAAATGATGAAAATTATCACAGAAGCGGAGATCAAGATGTGCTCCTCAATGAACTTGTATGGCTTCTAGGACAAGATGATTGAGGATCAAGTAGGTTATAACTGTAACATACTTAAAGGTTCATTTTTAAAGGCTTTACATGTACACAACAGATAAAAAACTCAAACGTAGTAAAGCACCCTAGATAGATAAACGACAGATATAGACAAAAGAACTGCAATGACAGCTGAAATTAATATAAGAAGATAAAAAAAATGTGGTAAATATGTAAAATACACCTTGTGGATGAATAGACGATATGGTATATCTAAAATTTATGAGCTGTTAACTTAGCTTAGTAGTAGAGAAACTGAATGTATTGTGTGCAGCTTTGTTTTCAAATTGCTTCTTTAACAGTCATGTTGCATGGAAATGATATTGCAGGCAACTCATAGGATGCAACTAGTTGCATGAAAGTTTCACTGTGTTAAGCCAGCCTAAGAAATATCTTAACAAATAAAACTGGTTCAGAGGCCAGTTTGATCTGACCTCAGCCAGCGTTGAGGCAAAAACATGCACAGAAAAAAGCTTAGTGTGGATAATGACACCATATATTATTAATACAGTACATAGAATGTAATGTATTTGGAAAGAATATAGTGATTGTGAAGAGCAGCGATGCATCTCAGGGCATGTACATGTGCACATACATCACTGGGAAGTGCTGAACAGTGTGATGGACTCTGAGTGAACCCTCTGTTTCTCTGGTAAGGCATGTATCGGCTCCAGATCCACTGTGGGCCTCAGCGCCACCTTCAGCCTCTGTAAAACATTACGCACAAAATGCAGTGCTTTCACAGATAGAAAAAGGAAGCAAGACCACACGCACATGAACGTGTGCATATATACCTAAAAAAAACTAGCAAATGTGTGTGGATATGTGCATGATCATGTCCATATTGGGGGGGCTGGGGAGTCTGGGATTGCTGAATTAGAAGCCTCTAAGGCTGCCACTGTTAGATATTACTGGTACTAAATGGAGCCTCGTCCTTATGAAACAAACACTCATATTTGTTACGTGTACCAAACGAAGATTTGACAACTTTAATGTTTATTTCTGGCCTTTTTTTCTAAAGTAGATTTAAGTGCACTGTTTGCTTGAAAAAGCGAACTTATAAAGGTCCAGCTGTGGATCAGTATCCTCTGCCAGGTGCAGTGATGCCACAGTATATGATGGGAGTGTCAGGTTGTTCTTGTTGGCAAGTTAAGAAGTGATGCATTCTCGATGTTCGGGGCGGATCAGGAACAAATCCGGGTACTTTAACCGTTCTTGGTGCTGCATATTGAATATTGTAATGCAACTTGGGCAGTGAAAGATGATGTTGAGCAAGAACAGGAAAATGCAAGAACACACAAGAACGCGTACTGAGAAACAGCCTATGTGTGCATGTGTGTACCTGTAATAAAGATCCTTTATTCCTCCAGATTTCGTGCACTGCCCCCAGTGGGATCCAGATTATAGAGATTAGAGAAATGAACCAGCCCAGCACCTCAGCCCACAGCGGGTACGTGTAGGACTTGCCATAGCGTGCAGGAGTGTACTGGATTATACTGGAGATCAGAATACCCTGCGGACAAATGAGAAGACGTCCTGACGCTTTACAGAAGATTTGTAGAAATGCACGTTGCAAACTGCTTTGTATAAAATCTCTGACCCTAGAGTGACTGGTGCAAATGACAACAATAAGCCACAGGAGGCTGTGCTTTACAGTATTAACGGCTGCTGTTAGATATGACTTAAAATGGAGCACTTAAAGCTCCTTTATGAGTCGTACAATGACTGTAATTCCCAGTTGTATAATAACTAGATAACTAGAACTGGAAAGTTTGTGGACAAACTTTAAGTGGGCTCAACAAAGCTGTTGCTATAAAATCCCAGGTGGTTGCTAAGGTGTTGCTAGGCCATTGCAATGGTATCCCAAGTGGTTGTTGATGTGTTGCTAGGCTACTGCTATGGAAACCCAGGAGGTTGCTAAGGTGTGGCAAGGCTGTTGCTATAAAATCACAGGTGGTTGCTAAGTTGTTGCTAGGCCATTGCTATAGTATTCAAGGTGGTTGCTGATGTGTTGCTAGGCTATTGCTATGGAAACCCAGGAGGCTGCTAAGGTGTTGCTAGGCCATTGTGATGATATCCCAAGTGGTTGCTGACGTGTTGCTAGGCTATTGCAATGGCATCCCATTGTATAAGTAAAGTTGGCTTTGTCGTTAAATAGATTATAATGGTAGATTTTGATGGTACATTTAAAGAAAAAGAGACATGAGTTGTAGGATGGAATGAGATCAAATAAGGAAGCTTTTCTCACCAGCACCAGCATCGGAGAGAGGAACTGCCAGCAGACACGAAAATACAAGTTTGGCCTCTTTCCCAACATGTTCTCCACCATCACACAGATCCTCTCCACTCCTGCGTGTTTGTGCGCATGAATCGAAGAGAGAATGAGTTTAAAACAATTCAGAATAGAACATATTGAGCAAATAAATATCCCTGAATTTCTAAAAAAATTGTTTTACCAAAGATCAGTGTGACTGCCAGCACCTCGAAGAAGGCCAGAAACATAAGAGACACAACTGCCGTGTAGTGATCCATCAGCTGAAACACATAAATACCACCCTACACACACACACACACACACACACACACACACACACACACACACACACACACACACAGAAATAGATAATGTTATTTAACATTGGGAGGAAACTCATCTTAAACTCCAATACTATTTATCATCTTTCTTTAATTCATAAGGGAAAGTTTATAAAGATGTGTTAATGAAAGAGGATATCTCAGCTCTCCGATTTATACAAATAATGGATTCATGTTACAAATAACAGTTCTAAAAGGTCTGTTATAATTAAGTATTACATTTCACATGATAGTATTACATTATAATTCCCTTTATAATGCATCATGATGAACTACACAATAGAAATAGCCCAAAAAAGAAAAAATATTGTTTCATTAATTTTATTAACAAAAAACTGTTTTTCCTTCTCCTGTTAAGCTGCCTTTTTGGAGATACAAGGTTTTGTTGAAACAGCAATGACATATAATTGATATATAATTGTTGTGGGTGTGGGTATAAGTGTGCATTTGTATATATACAATCATATGCAAAAGTTCAGGCACCCCTGGTCAAATGATCTTTTGTTGATTTTCTAAGTGAAAATAAGCTGCACGTTTTAATGGACAATTACTTTATTTGCTCAATGTAACATATTGGGAAAAAATACAAAAATAATTATTGGCTCATTTTAGATTTAACATTCTAGTTTTTTTCTAATAAGTTAAACTCAAATAAACAGGAGTTGTGCAAGAAACTTTGCAGAAAAATGCCAAACGCATTACAGGCCATTTTCAAAATTTTTCTTTGCTTCATGTCGTTTTTAGTGGTTTTTACATATATAAGAAATATCACTATTACATCAGATTACATTAAATACAATACATTACATTAAATAAAATGTATTTTCTATTGTACTTCAGCTGTTAGTCTTTTCAAAAATTCATTATATCCAAAAAGTAACAAATGGAGATACAGCATTTAGGAATGAAACTCTTCATCTGTTCTCTGTGGAGATGTGTTAACTTATTTTCACTTAGAAAAACAACAAAACATGTAATGTGACCGGACTGTTCAAACTTTTATATACAGCTGTATATCTAATCTTGGTTTATTGTTTTTATTGTCTATATTCCACTACTGTGTAAACCGTTCCTCCAGTTTTTGTGTATTCGGTGTGTTGGTGAACTTTATGCTTTCATGATGGGCTGAACTGTTTCCTGTAGCAGTGTAATTGTACTGTATCATTGTAAGATCAGAGATTTGAGCCCCTAATGGTGTTTGTTTACCCTGGTGATGTGCGGAATTCCCAGCAGAAATCCCACCGAGCACACGGCCAGCACCAGCAGCTCCTTCCTCTTAAACACACGCAAAACCTTCACACCAAACCCGTCCATGATGCACGTCACCGCCACCTCCACCATCGCAAACTGTACACAGACACACAAACACAGAGCTACAATGAGACTACGCTTCTTTCCAGAGGACACACTTCTGCACATTTTAATTTGAGAGTGTGTGTAAGTGTGTATGTATGTGTTTTTCTCAGGAGCGGGTCTGCGGTACCTCACTGTCCAGGCCGAGGCAGAGCAGCATGAAGAAGAAAAGAGGAGCCCACAGCTGGGATACAGGCATGGTGGAGAACGCTTCTGGATACACAACAAACACCAAACCAGGACCTACTCACACACACACACACACACATGCACACACACACACAGAACACATAAACAAGAACAAACACCAGTGGCTAAAATATCACTCACATGTGCCAAAGCAACAGAAAACCGTCTCTACTTACAATCTAATCTACAATCTCTAGTCAAACACAGTAAGGTGATATTAAAACCGTCCCATTCAGAGAGTAATACAACTCCACGGCAGTTAGCTACACCAGACGTTCTGCACTTTTTCCGTGCTGAAAAACTTCAATAATTAAAGGGTGACAACATGAAGAAGATAACAGCAGACAGAAACATCAGGCCTTTGAATGACGGCACAGCAGCAAGAAAGAAAAAGCGCAACACATCTGAATAAACTGGTCATATATCCCTGCTGACCCCTTTAGAAGTCACACTTGTCGTTGGTGATAAAAGAAACATGGTGTAATTTTATATTCCTTATGTCACGCTCAGCTGATTGAAACAAACTGAGAAATTCTGTCGAAAAGATAGATTCAAAAACTGTATTCAGTTCCATATTTGTGTTTGTACATAGAAGAGGAGATATTTTTTATGAATTGTACTTGCGGAACAGTTTTTCAGATATTTTATTATGAAATGCATTTGATGAAAAGTTATAAACCTACTAATAAAGATTTATCAGTCATTTCTATAAATAATTTGATAACTTCTATACAGCATATAATTTAGGTAGTTATAAGAGTGACAGCCTTAAGTGCAGCCCATATACAGCTTATAACAGGTTAATCAAGTAATTGTGTAATTTCCATTTAAATAGCATAGCATAGCATAGAATACTCTTCTAAATGCAATCTATAATAACTCTAGACTTCTACATTCTTCCCTACTTTAATAAATCTGCAATAACTAAATGCTCAAACTCTTTCTCATTTACAATAACTATAGACTGCTGAATTATTCGCAATTAATAATAACGCTAAAATAACTCAAGACTTCTACATTCTTCCCCGTTCATAATGACTATATAATATGTCTAGATTTCTAAATCGTTCCCCATTTATAATAAATCTATAACAACTCTAGACTTTGTAATTGTTCCCTATATATAACAAATCTATCAATCCAATTTTCACTAACATTGAAATTCTAAATCCACATTTATAATAACTCTATTATAAACTTTTTCCCATTTATAATAACTCTATGACACCTCCAGACTTCTAATTTCTTCCCTATTTCAATAATTCTACAACAGGGGTGCCCACACTTTTGTGGCTTGAGATCTACTTTTTCAAGTGGACAGGTCATTGAAGAATCACACTGACCTTATTCTAATGGTTTGCACTGAATGGTATGAGCCAGGTTTGTGTAGTCTGGACCACTTTTTTCTTCCTGAGTTCACTTTTAGCTGGGGATTTGTAGTTGTAGTTTCTGTGTATAGTTAATGCGATGGCTACTTGACAAATCAAGCAGATGCATTTGGAGTTTGATAGTGAAAAAATAGTCCTCCTCCTGCTCTGCATGGAAGAGGTAAGTCGGTTTCTTTGCGCCAGGTCTCGCACTCATCTTCTGAAAGAGTCAGCGTAGGTTACAAATAGATCACGAACTTGCCACCGATAAATGGAAACTTTCTAGATCGCCAGAGAGGCAAATTCACTATGGTAGCAAGCTGTAAATTAAAGAGACAGTGGCCACATTTCACGTAAGTCAATCACGTTGACCTGCCCGCCACCAGAATCAGTAAGAAAGTGTTGAAATTTGATAGCCTGTTTGAATGAAGTGCACTCCAACATGCACGGTACAATCGACTGGTCAATCATGACTGGTCAATCGTGATCGATGTACTGGGCACTCCTGCTCTACAATAATTAAATGTCTCAATTCTTCCCCATTTACAATGACAAGACTTTGACATTCTTCCACTGTTATAATAATTCTATAATAACACTAGACTTTGACATTCTTCCCCATTTACAATAACTCTATAATAACTCTAGACTTCTTCTCTATTTATAGTAACTTTGTAACAACTCTAAACTTTTAAATTCTTCCCTAATTGTTTCCTAATTGTAGGTGCATGCCTGAGGTTCAGAAGGGGAACAGGGCAGATTCTAAATCAGCAGGACTTCTTATTAGGATTCCTCAGAACCAGTGAGCCTTAAATCTCAGCCTGACATCACTTCTGGTTGCTAGCTTTATGCACTAATTGGCAGAGAAATTCAACAGCGGCAAAGCTCAATAATATTAAAGCTGGAAAGTTTGGAGGTGGCTGGAACGGGAAGAGAAGACTGACAGAAATTCAAATGTGATTTGACTGCATGTTTATGGAACATTACAGCTCCAAACACAAGACGTCTTGAGCTAATGAAGGGTTTCAAAGTTGAAAAACTGTACATTTTGCATTGTTGTTTGACCGTCAATAGTAGCTACCTTTGCCAACTCCGCTGACAAAGCACAGAGTAGTTTTCCACTGAGAACGGAGAGAAACCAGGATACAAATACATTCTTTTAGTGAATAAACATCTTTCACCCCCCCCCCGTGACCTTGCCAAGCTCTCCCACACCTGCTCTGTCTCTCATAATCACTTTGTTGTGTTTCACAAAATAAGCTCTCTTTGTGAAGCATGTTTCATCACGACCTATCGAAAAATGTGAAGCTAGAATTTCTCACTGCCTTTCTTGTTAGCCTTCTCAGCAGCATTGCTGGCCAGCTGCCTCTATTCAGAAGGGTCTGCACTGCAGAAAGGCTTGAGGAAACCTGAGCATTGTGTATGTTCACTGACAAAAAAGATATATATACTATCTATATACTAATACTATAGGGTGCTACAACATTTATGACTGCTGTGCTCACGTATGTTCTCTGACTGCGTCAACTCACAGATCACAGCATGTTAAATATCTCTGCACCTTATTCCACTACCTCATGCTCAGAAATCTGTGCTGTGCCAGCGCTGCACTGTCCTGTCTGTTTACTGTGTCTAATCTCTGTTTAATTTATCATATTTATTGTATTGTTTATAGCTTAATTTTTTGTTTGCACACTTATGTCTGCACGTTCGCACTTTGTACTTTTTGTTCCTTGTTGCACCTTGTTCTTCCTGGAGGAATGTAATTTCACTCCACTGTGTACTTGTACATAGATGGAATGACCATAAAAGCCTCTTGACTTGACTTGACTACATAGCGCTGTATACTAATAGCCATCTATAATACTTGTGTTCTTACCTTACAGAAATTCCTGTAATATGATCTTTGTTCTTTTTCCTAAGGAATCAGACTATTACATTTAATTTTGGTTATAAAACTCCATCACTCCCTTCATTTTATATTTATGGGTGTGGGCAGGAACTATGAGACCAAAAGTAGGACTTGTCCTGACTGAGAGTGTGTGTTATGAATAAGTGAAAGAGAGAGAGAGAATGTGGAATATGTGTCTAATTTACCATCAGTAGCTATGTCATCCACAGGCAGGTTGTGAATATGTGCCATGTAGCCAATAGCAGAGAAGATCACAAACCCAGCTACGATACTAGTAGCCGAGTTAGCCAGAGAGACGACAAACGTGTCCCTATAAAAATAAGAGAAAAAAAAACAATCAAACACGGCGTAACTCTGGGTTTTTTTGTGATAAATAAGTTAATTCTTTTAATTTCAAGACACATGTATAGTCTTTAAAACAAAGGGTTCTTTGGAGTCTCTCCATAGAGGAACCACTTCTAGTTGGAAGAGCCATTTTTGTTAATCTGTAAATAGTGCTTAACAACATATATATAATCTGTACCGATATGCAAGGTGTGAAATATAGGGGGTCTTGGGGGGTCCAGGACCCTCTAATAAACATCTTGACCTCCTGAACGTCTCAAAATCAAAATTCTGGGGGCTTCTTGAAAACAAACTTACTATGATGTTATGTTATTCATTAGGGCAAAACAGACACTTAAATACAAATTCAGGGAAAGCTCGCTGTTCAGCCGCTTCTGTCTTTGGTATTCTTAGCCAAACAGAGATGCAGCACTGGTCTGCCTCAGGGTGGCGCTGTAGCAGTTGGTCCTTCATAGCCTAGCAACTGTAACTATGACTGGGATACCTCTGAAAAACTTTACAATATGGTGTAACATATTTGTCAATATGAAAACAGTTTCCCAAGAGTTTTGTGGAAAGAGTGACTTGTTATCCATTTCATAACCCTTGTGTGGTGTTCAGGTCTGTGGGACTTGTTGTCAGTGTTTACCAAAAGAAGAAATTATACGATTTATTATTATTTCAACCCCAGATTCCTCGGCCTTTGCTCATTTTCTGTGAAACACATATCAAATAACACATTTTCAGTGACTTCACTCTGTTCACCCCCCTACACATTTATACTACACATGTGGTGTTGGGCTGAACCCGCAGGGAATAAAAGTGTGGAGGTGCTGTGTCCTTCACTCTGTTCTCCTCCTACATGGCCTGCTGTTAGTCTGTGTATGTCTGTGTGTCTATGTGTTTGTATATGTGTGCGTGTGTGTGAGGGTGGACCAAATGGACAGGCTGCTGACTGGCTACAGCTGCTAAAGGAGAACCCTACACTGGACACTTGTGATATTTTTACATAAATTATTGTGGCTGTATTGATTTAAAAAAAACAATAATGTGGTGGGTCCACCAGACCACTGAGTAACAAAAACATAAACACCACACAAGGGTTAGAATAATGACAAAAGAGATGTGTAAGACTTCAGTTAATGTGTGGAAGAGCGCATTCCCAAACTAGAAGGTTAGCAGCCAGTTAGTAGCCAGCCAACATATTTCACATACTGCCGGTATACCATTATTTTATACCAATATTGACACACCCTGACATTACTTTTCAGTTTCAACAATATCTTGGACAATATATTTAATAGACAATGAGAATTACAGACACAACATAATACCCATAAAATAGTGGTGTCCCTGTTGCCAAATGGTTTATTGTTAAGTTCTAATTCTATTTACTGCACTTTAAAAATGACATGCATAATCTGACAGTTAACTGCAAAATATACAATTTGCTGGGCGTGTCAGATTTAATACAATTTAAAATCCATACAAAATAATAAACAGTAAGTTAGCATTATTTTATTCATACTAACTTATATATTGTGTGAAGATCATTTTTAAAGTTTAAAGACCTTCCACATAATGGAAATATACTACAGCAATTAAATGAATTCTCCAGAACCATACATCCAAACCAAGAACCCTGACAGAACCTTTCTTTTTAGGGGTGTAACATCAGTTTTCCTCTGTTCCAAAATCCCTCACCTGAGGATGTTGTTGTTGTATTTGTTGTAGCTAGCCATAGATATCATAGAGCCAAAAGCAATGCCAATGGAGTTGAATATCTGTGCAGCTGCATTCACCCATACCTTAAAGAAGAAATAGGTCAGAGTAGCTTTTGCTAGACATGTTATCTCATGTTTAGCCGGTAATGTTAAATTAATATTCTCTAAATGATCTGACAGTAAATTTCACACACTGGTCCAGACATGCTATTGGTTCAACAGAAATGATTAAGTGGAAAACAGTCAGCTGTAGGGTGTCCCTCACTTGGACTACTTTGCCCTGAGCATTATTGGTCTGAGGAGTATTTCACAAAGGGAGACAATTCAGCCTTAACTTCACAGTAGCCATAAAACCATCCGAACATAAGAAACTTGATGCACCGTTCAGTGCCTTAAACTGGTCCATACAACTGGCTCACATTAACATAAGTCTCAGAGGAATGATTCACTGAAAAATCAAATGTAAGCTGTTTCCCTGTGACTCTGCATATAGTTGATCTGTCAAGACATGTTGTGTTTCTGAAGTTTGCTCCCATAGTTTCGTAATGCAGGAATGAGGCTGATGTAGCTGAAAAGTAACATAATTAAATGGCTCTTCTTGAGTGAGATAGATATATACAACACTAGGCCAAAGCAAACGTCAGCAAATGCACCAATAACTGCACCAATTCAAGCTCACCTGCACTTCCAGGAGTTTGCTCCAGTTGGGCATGAGAAAGTACAGGATGCCATCTTTTGCACCAGGCAGCTGGACATTGTTGATCAGCAACGCAAACAGCATGAAGTAAGGGAATGTAGCAGTGAAATAGACAACCTACAGAGAGAATTTACAGGCCAATAGGAGACACAAACAAGACAGTAAAACATATAATTGTCACAGCCATAGATTAATCACTCTCATTTAACCCTATTAAAAAAGAACTGGGATCATAACTGACTGAGCATTTTATAAAGCTGAAATTGTCATGATAAATCATGAGGGGCTTGGTCTATAGAGGATACCCAGAGAAGGCCTCTGATGTTGAACTACTTCTGCTTGTGGTTCATTACAGGAAATCATGAAACCTACATAGCCTACTATAGTAATGTAAACACAGCTTACTAGTTACACTGTCTCAACTGACACCCACAGCATAATCTATTCATTTGTCTTGCAAAAGTGAACATGGTTGAGGTTGGTCGTTCACGTCTACTGCTTCAAAATGTGTTCCGTGGTATGGGAGTAGGGAAATCTGACCTTTCCTGTGGATTTGACTCCTTTGAATATGCAGAAGTAGATGATGAGCCAGGCCAGAGCGAGGAGGCCAAACAGCTCCCAGCGAACCCCTCCGGCATCTTCAATACCGCCGGTCATCTCCAGCAACTTACGGCTAAAAAACACACACACAAGTTACAGCTGGTAATCTGGTCACTTCCAAAAAAATGCTAGAAATCCTGTTTTAATTTACTTCTATGACGACAAACATTCACCTGCTACTTACTCAAAGTACTGCTGACTGGCTGACTGCAGGTGAGTGGCATTGCCGGGGAAGCCAGTGGAGCAGTTGCTGACCGCATTCCAAGTGTTATTGCAGGACTGCCATGGCAAGGTGGAACCAAAAGAGTTGAAGAGGTAGTAGAGAGCCCAGGTCATCAGAACGTTATAGTAGGTGGCCAGCACGAAAGAAATAACCACTGTAGCTAGTCCCACACCTGGGGACGCACAGGTAGGGGACAAAGAGAAAGTGTGTTAGATAGTAGGCAATGCCACTGCTGCTCTTTTAGCATCCTTCCAGTCCTCTACTGCTGAACGGACACACTTCAGAGTGGGTTAATACTGGAGCTAAGGCTCATTACCAGAAGTGGAAACTAAAATTGGCAGTAAGATGTTAGACCTGTCAGATAAACAGCGCTTGTTTCTGATAGTCTCTGATCTTGAATCGAACATCAATTTAGAATTTTCTGCATTTGACTATTATGACAATTGACCTGTCCAAATGCTTACATTTGGAGCGCTATTTGTTTATTTATTATTTATGTTTATTTCATTTGAAGTTTCATAATCAGATCGTATACCTCTCTAAAAAGCTCTTTAGGAAATCCTGCACCTCATATCCCATCAGAAATCTTCTCTAATGATAAATGCGATATTCTTTAGCAGTAAAATAAGCTGCATCAGAAACAATATAGCAAATAATGACCCTCCATCTACAAATCTCCCAGTTCCCAATAGGGTGGGACTATGTCCAACATCTCAGCAATTAACCATGAAACACATTATAAAAGTACTTTCACTAACTACACTTCAAAACTTTCACAACAATTTAAGACACAGCCTGAGAGATTGTGCTTTCCGTCTTAAACTGGTTTCAGTCTTATATAAGTGGCTGTGAATGTTGCGCTTGGTACTTGTTCACCCAAGCATCATCTTTTATCTTGTGGGGTCCCACAAGGGTTGGTCTTGGGACCAGTACTATATAATCTCTACATGCTTTCATTACCCAAGATAATTAATAAATACAACAAAACAAAACACACTCCTTTTTTCTGGCAGAACAGACTTCAGATTTTACTAGTGTAAATAAACAAGAGGTTAGAATAACAATTTTCTTTAATATTATTTGTGATATTATCACACCACATTTTAAAAGTCCAAAAACTTCACCAAGCAAGGAAAGGTGATTGGTGGACCAAAGGGAATGGTGCCAGCAGATGGTTCTGAAGACTTTTTATGTCTCCAAACTCCTAATACATCAGATATTCTGAGCTTACTCTTATGCAACACTAAAAAAGACCAGGCTTTTCCCCAAGGGCCGCATTACTGAACACAATAAAGTGGGATAATGTTTAAAAGCCTTGGGATTTACAAGGCTGACCTTGGCTCCCAAATGACATTCTAACATTAACTAAAAGCCCTGCAGTAAGTTTTTATTGAAACAGAATGTTTAAAACATGACATTTAATGCATTATAAGCAAACGTTTTGAGGACTTGGAAATCGCCAGCTGATTGATGTTTTAAACTGTATCAAATCTCTTTCACAGGTGGAAGTAAGTACTTAAACAGGTGTAACTTACTAAGCAAACCTCACCTTAAAAAAATTTAATTTTTTCCTTAAGTATGAAACTTAATCAATGACATATCTCTTTCTGGATGGTCTCAGACATTCATAGCATTTATTTCTGAGAACATGGCTCAGCATGTGACACTCGTAAGAGTAGTGGGCTCAAGATCACTAATCTTTACAACATACTGTAACTGGCATAATTCCACTTTTGCTCTTTACCATTTGACACCCTACACTCATAAAATAAAAGTATAAAATAGGGTTCTTTAGGGCAATGCCATAGAAGAACTGCTTTTGGTTTGCTAACGAAGTGTTTAAATGACACCAGCCTACATAAACATTTATCAACACGTATTCCATAGGTGTCAGGTTGTATCTACACTATGTGGACACTCCTCCTAATTAAGTGTTTTAGTCACACCCATTGCAAACGTGTATAAAATCAAGCACATAGCCATGCAATCTTCACAGACAAACACTGGCAGCAAAATGGGTCGAACTGAAGAGCTCAGTGACTTTATAATGTGCTACTGTCGTGTGAGGCTACAAGTCAGTTTGTGAAACGTCTGCCCTGCTAGATCTGCCCCTGCCAACAGTAAGTGCTATTATTGTGAAAGGGAAGCATCTAGGAGCAACAACAGCTCAGCCACAAGGCAGCTGAGTGCTAAAGTGTGTACAAATATCCTGTCTTCCGTCACAAACTGACAAACCGCCTCTGTAGGCAACATCAGCACAAAAACTGCCTCAGAAGCTTCATGAAATGGACTCTGGACTCTGTGCTATGTGTTGTCTGTAATGATTAACTGCTGCCATAATGCCAACAGTAAAGTTTGGTGGAGGAGGGATAATGATCTGGGGCTGTTTTTTTCAGGGTTTGAGGTCAGTCCTTAAGTTCCAGTGCAGGGTAATGTTAATGCTACAGCTTGCAAAGACATTTTAGACAATTATATTCTTCCAACTTTGTGATACAGTTTGGGGAAGGTCCTTTCTTTTTCCACCATGACTGTACCCCTGTGTACAACGTGAGCTCCATAAAGACATGGTTTGACGAGTGTGGTGAGGAGGAACCTGTGAGTCAGGGCTCTGTGCAGACACAGTCCAAAATGTTGTGAAGTCTTCCCAGAAGAGTAGAGGCTGTTGTGGCTGCGAATAGGGGGCCAACTCCATATGAATGCCCATGGTTTTCAAAAGGGATGTCTAACAAGCTCATGCAGATGTGATGGTCAGGTGTCCACATACTTTCCGCCAGTTATGTTTATGTCTGATCTTTTTTTCTGGCATTAGATCGGGTCACAACTATTTCTGAGGTGAAATAACGTGGTTTGTAGCTCAGTGTATGTTACATTGATAATGCTGATAATATGACAGTTTGGTACAACAAAGCTGAGCATTCTGCAGGTCTTATAGATAGTGGGTTTCATTTTGCCATTTAAAAGATTTTAAAGCTATTTTAAAGCTGTCACATCATTAGCATTGTGACACTGTTATATACTCTAAGCCAGGGGTGTCAAACTCAATCACTAAAGGGGCCATATTAAAAAAATTTCAACAATTCCGTGGGCCACAGAAAAAAAACGTTTTTATTTCATTTTTAATGAATGTTGTGCTATAACCCAAACTGACCATTGTTTATTCAAAATAAACAATGGTAAAATATAGACACTTATAACAGACCTTGAAATATTACATGAATACTTAAAATATTCTAAATTTAAATGTCCCCAGCAGCTCAGTCTTTTAAACCTACCTAGTTGCTTGAAGTACACACCTGGCATCTTTTCTTTGCTGTAAGTTCATTAAGACTTGGGCTCAATTTCTGAGCCGCTAAGCTAACATTAGGTGTTTATAGTGGTTGAACTGCAGCTGAAATGCAGCTGGTGTATCTGGTGATATGACTGGTGTGGAACTGTGTAGAAGTGTGGAGAATTGAGGAGTGCCTGCTGTCCCATAGATTGTTGTTGGGGAAAAACAGTGCACATTATGTTGCAGCGCATGCTGGGAACTGTAGTGCAGTACGTTGTGAAACAGGCTGATATACAGAAAATTAAAATACTTTTGCGGGCCGGATAGGATTGTGTTGCGGGCCTGATCTGGCCCACGGGCCTTGTGTTTGACACATGGGCTCAAAGCTTTTACAAACCTTTATAGATGTTTATATAGGTTGATGTTAGCTGTCTTGACAAGCTTATGCAATGGTCAGACAGCCTTATGAACACTTGCCAGCAGTAAAGTGGTACTAAACTTTCTTTTTATTAATGAGTTTAGGTGTGAAGAACCTTTATGAAATTTAACCAGTTTCAGCATAGCGTAAAGACGCTATACCAACCCAGCGTTTTTTCCTAGAACCATGTGTCTAAGCCAGGAACCACTTAGGTACCTTTATTTTTAAGAATGTACAGCTGGGCCTTGAATAACTATCCAACGTTGAGCAGCTAATGTAAAAGGTTTCATACTGTTCTGATAGGCCCACATTCCACAGCAGATTATGGTGAGTTATAGGATCATTTGGTCAAAGTCCGGGTTGAATGCATATCCTAGGCACAAACACATTCTTTAGTGCATCTATATAATCTACACATTGCTGTTAGAGGAGAAAAGTGATGACACTGCAGAAATCACAAGCGTACTACGGTATCTCTGACTAGCGTCTGTGTGTTGACCAGCCCATGCACTGATGGCCTAAGTCCTTGGATTAGATATCCTCCCTGACTGTCCACTGTTAAGCTGCTTGGCTTTTGTCTTCTTCCTTTTCGGCGATGCTCAGCTGAAGTTTTCATTAGATGCTTCTCCCTCACCACCCAAAACTTGGCTCTGCATACTATCCCAATGTTATTGTTGGATCCTGTCTCACTGGCCTGAGGTCATCCCCAAACTCCTAAAGCACTAAAGCCCTAAAGCCCTATGCTATCACTGGCCAAGCAATAAAGCAGGCCTCAGAGAATCAGCAGCTTCAGAGAATAGGGAGCTTCAGAGAATCAGGAGCTCCACTGGCTCTGAATAGGTTCGTTGGCCCTGAATGAAAGCAGTGCTCTCCTGATATTCTTAATTCTAATGTCTACGTGTCTAACAGTGGCTTTTTTTGTTAGACCACTTTAATATTTTCTTTCATAGGATTTTAACAGAAAACACCAATACATACACAAATAGACACACAAAAAAACAAAAAGATCAGTTCTAAAGATGATCTTCACAGCTTATTTGGATTCACCCCCCCCCAAAAAAAAAACATATTAGATTGTTGTACTGTATTATTGTGGCTTTGTCAGTGCTTTGTGTGTCCAAGATTCTTCTTAATCATTTTCATTCTGCTCTTTTCGTACTGCTGCCCAAGAAGCCTCCTCATGCAAACCATCTAACTCTTTCTACATGATTAAGCAGACGCCCTTAACTGCATTTGGCAGTTTCTAAAGTTAGATGGTGAATGAAATTAAAGTTATAATAAAGTTTAAATGGAGCAAAAAATAGTATACAGTAGAGCTGAATACACCATTCACTGTGGCACCTCACTCATCTACATGTGCAATTGTATGCAAATATTTAGGCACCCTGGCCATATTACATATTTTGTTGATTAAATTTTAATTGTGACATGTGCAAAAGTTTCAATACCCTACTAAATCAGTACTTATCCCTTTTAGTAGATATCA